AAAAAAAAGGATACAACAGACTCAGGAAAAAAAAAAAATGCCACATTTCAAACTTGTCCAGCTGACTTGAAACTGGAAACCTTGCGTTGAAATCTTATTCCATGAGAATTTCTTTCTTCTGAATCTATGTTTATAATCATTTTGTCCAATGAAAAATTATCTTTTGCTGGTACATACTGGGGCAGCCAATGGAGCTTTGTCCACATCTGCCAGGAAGGATCTGAACCAATTAAAGTCACTCCTGCCCTACTGTGCTGTCAACAATGACTGATCCCCAAAGTATATTTGCAGAATATAACAGAGCTCATTTTTTTAAGCTAAACTTCCTCATTAAAACTATTTACAAGACATAAAACAATGAGAACCTGAGGCAAGGTACTTCACTATTTCAAAGTAATTCCCATACCTATGAAGATCGTTTAACCTCTATGACTACTGAGTCCTTCAAGAAAGAGTCATCAGGTGATCATTCTGGAAAAGAATGCATTAAGTCACTTTAAACTGACACAGGGCATGTGAAACGCTCGTGATTCCATGGTTCGGGCTGTTCTGTGTGTGGAAATTGATGGTAACTTGATTTTGAAAAGGTCACTCCAACTCCATTGAGAATTAATATCCTAATATCTCATGCTGTATTTACAGCTAAACTCGTGTTACTGATTCTTAGCTTTGCTAAATTTCCAGCTGAAGAATACAGAGAATAAATCATCTTCAGCATTGTTTATTTCAATCACAGTGTTCCATTTGTCCAGCACTAAGCTCAGCACTCCAAGTGCTAAGAAATAAAGGTTGTTTTTAGCCTCAACTCTTCCTGACTGTTCTACATTGCCCCAGTGAAACCTGGTGTTTCCTTTGTGCTATGACAGCTCTATTAGATGACTTCACAACTGAGATTTCTTCTCTCTTCCCTCACCTTGTTGGGAGTTATTTTATGCCATGCCTGTAAAGGGAGAATTTCTTCCTCCAGCAAATTGAAAATATTTACAGAGGCTGCCCAATACCACAGAAAAATAAGGTTTTATTTGAGCTTCCCTAGGTCTCTGTGAAAAGTAAGGATTTGGTAATCTGTCCAAGACTGGCAATATGATTTCGAGTGTTTAACAACATCATTTTCAGAATCCACAAATTTTAGCAAACACAGCACCAGTCATACTGAGAAAACACATTTTCATAGAAGTAGAAGTTCTAAACAACACAGAATTTAACACCTTTCTTTAGAAATTGTGAAAAAATATATGGGAATTCAATAAGTAAAAGAAGAATGGCCAGACAAAGCTACCATAGAGCTCTGAGAGTTTATGGTTCTCAATAATTTTACTAAGAAATAACTGCACCCACACACAGCACCAGAAAACTACACCAAAAATGTGCATCGGCAAGAAAGATGTCTTGTACTACATGCACAGCTGAGGGAAGGATATGTACAAACAACCTGGCATATAGACTAGTGTGCCATAAAGATTAATTATGATTTCATACACAGCAGTTGAGTTTTTGTGACAAAGCCTGTAGCATGCTTTTGCACAGAACTGTACATTAAAAAAAAATAAAATTATAAAGCCTGGATAGGGCTGGGTAAGCTATAATTTACAGGATGCTGCCCTGACGAACAAGTTCTGACCAGCAGTGTAGTATTTTTGCAGGAGTGCACACCTGGGAGCCCTTCAAACTACGGACTCACGTGAAGTCATTTATGGTAGGTAATAAATCTAGTGAGCAACATCTGTTCCAAATTCACCTAGAACACATATACAAATTCTTACATAGGCAGAGATCTCTATCAGACCTTACTTTTACTTTGTTAGCTTTCTCAAGATCTCACATGCCACAAAGATCCACATAAAAGTATAATATTCCAATAATAAACTTTCAGGAGGCTCTTTCATTAAATAATAAGTGTCTTTGGGTGTTTTGTATTTTCTTTTTCCCCAAGGAAAAAGTAACCAGCTTTTAGGAAGATTATGTTGCCTCTTCCAGCTACCCATTCCAGTGGCAGGTAAAGACACAAAGACCAAAGACTACTAAAAAGAGATGAAATTAGGATTTTAAGGAAAAGGAGTTTGGCTACTAAATATGTTCATCAATAGCTCACACGTTGTCATGGAAAACCAGCCAAAAGAAGCACTTCTTCAATTTGTGCAAGTTGTAACTCTGACTCCAAGAAAAGGAAAGTAAAAACCAGTAGCTAAAAAGGGTCGTCAGCTCGGAGTGCCAATCCAAACAAGCCCTGAGGGAGATTTGTCAGTAAAGTCTCTTTTTTTGAGGGAACGGATGAGGTATGCACTGGAATAGAGATGGAATGGATAGGATGGAATGGATGAGTATATATGCAGCATAGTTTCTTAGTCTATCTGTCTAGATGTTTTAATTACCTGTATGGAATAGGCATCTACCTCAGCAACAATAGCTGTGAGTAGGATGTAGAAATCTCTCTAGCTATATGGTGCTTTTTAACCTGTTGCTACAAACAACCACAGAGCCGCTGCCTGAGGTGGCACCAGATTTCATTATAACCCTTCTTCTAATCAGTCACAACTGGTTCCAAACCCACACCAGTTTTTCAGTGGATCAGATAGAAAAGTTCCCTCTCTGCTCCTGATGCACAAGCTGACTCCTGCACACATCCAAATGTGTATCAGCAATATTTCTCTTCAGGAGACTTAATATTCTACAGAGAGCTTTTCCAAGACTATTTTTGAGGGGTCAGGCAGTAAAAAGCATTTTTCTCTCTCAAAAGACATCAGATAAGCAGCTGAAGAAGAACTAGTAGTGAATTAAATAGAAAACATGCTCTGATGTTTTCCAGACTTTCAAAACTCAAAATTTTTCATTCAGTAGACATGGATTTAGCATGGTTTTGTGACATTCTCATTCAAAAGGGGGCTGTTAATACCTTACATAGCATCCTGCAGATAACAGAATTTCACCTGCAGATTCCTGCAGTTTGTTTGTTTATTGCTTCAGAGCAACGTGCTGAGTTTGTGAGTAATAGCAGAGTTCAGTCTTTTATAGAAGGGTTAGAGGTCTGATAAAGCTATGAAATTCACAGAAAGGGTCACAAAATGTTCTGTGGACTTTAAATCAGGCCCTGTATTTTGATTAGAATAGACTAAATAGAAAAAAAATATTTTAAGAATAAGACCAAAACCATTTTGGATTGTTCGTTTCAAAAGTATTTCATTGCACAATGTGATAAATGTGATACTATCACAAAATCTATTATATTCACTACCAAGAACCCATATCCACAAGACAGGGTTGCATGAAAGATCAAAATAGTTTGCATTAGTCAAATTAGTTCCTGCACTTGATAATCAGAAGGTTGTTGGTTTTGGTTTTTTTGCTTCAATAGAATTATATCAGAGTGAATTAAAACTAAAATGTAATTAATATTATTGTTAAATTGAGGAAAGACTTGAATAGATTTATGTCATATTCTAACTCCCCTGAACTCATCTCTGCCAGGGACCAGATATGCAGTCTTATGACTTTGGGTTTCTTTATGGCTATGGTTTTCTTTATGACTATGGTTTTCTTTATGACTATGGTTTGCTGAAACTCTTCTAAAGAAAAAAAACCCCAACTTCAACCAATTCCACAGGAATGGGCCAGTCTTGTTGAACATATTTTGTTTTAAAGGCATACTGAGGAAGTATAAAAGTGATTTGACAAGCTCTTCCCATTAAAAAAAAATAAAAATCTTCCTATTTAGTGAGGTTCTCCTCCCCTTAAAATGTTAAATTGGAACAGAAAAGTTCAGTTTTACAGAAATAAATCTGATATCTTTTGGACTGTTCCATAGAAAAAGGATTTTTTTTTTTTAACGTTCTTCTTTTTCATCTCATTTCAAAAGAAATAAGATTTTGAAATATAGACGTTTCCTGCTGAAGCAAAATTCCAAGTGTCAGCCTCTGGCATATGCAATTCCTCCAACTTGTGCCATCTTGTAGCACCATTAACCTACCTAAGCGCAGTCCAAGTGCAGGAGTGCTCCAGGCATATCCCATCTCCCCTTCAGGAAAAGGCTGGAATACTGCCAAGGAGCTAGTCTAAGGCATTAA